TATTTCAAAAATTCGTAACTCACATATAATGACATGCATGGCTCGGTTTTTCTTCATGAAAAATCTTAAAATGTCATGAAATAATTAATGGAATAAAAAATCCCGAGCTTACCTCGGTTAAAAATGGAGAAATCGAGTTAGGGCTCAAACTAGGGCTAGTCGCGGCTTTGGAGGTTAAGCTCACTTTGTGGTGTGATTTGTTCGAGCCAATCAACTCTAAAAGGCTTAGAAAATTCTAAAGAATACTTAGAATATGCTAAGCCTCGAGAGATTATGGCTGGAACACGAGGTGGCTGCCTTCTCTCCTTCCCCGGGGCGCGCGCGCGGGCAGCAGGGCTGGTAGCTTTGCTCTCGGTTTTCTCCTCCCTCCTCACTATTTTTCTCGAGCTCCAATTTGTGTAAGAGCTTAAAATGGACTAAGGGAGGGGTCTTAAATAGGTGTTGAGGGCGGAGCTTACTATGATGGTCAAGGGAGACCAAAGATCATGAGTTTGCCTCATTTTATGTGCATAGGAACTTGAGGGTGTTGGGGCATCTTTGCATGGAATATTTGGGTGGAATGGCAGGTCCTTTAGTGTATAAAAATGAGGTCAAATGGGGTCTGGTCCCAAGTGCACGAAATAGGGGGGACAAGGGTTGCACAAGTGAATAAAATATTCACTAGCCCACATGCACTACCATTATAATAATCCCCATGTTCATTGTCTTTGCTTAAACATTTCTTAGGGTAACTTAAGCTTAATTAGACCCTCATTAGGTCCTAATTACACGCCTGAGTTGGGCCATGAGGAAAGTGGGCCGAAAAATGGTGTTTTAGGCCTTGGAAGCTGGACTGGTCGCGCTGGGCGCTGGGCCTGGGCGCTGGGCACTGGGCGCTGGGCCCTGGGCGCGGGGACGCGGGCTGGGCGCGAGGGCGCGGCTGGGCTGCGCGGGAAATGGTGCTGCTCGGGGAAAATGACTTTGGGCTGAGTTGCAAGGGTTGGGAAAGGCTTCCAACACTTAGAAAATTTTAGGGAACTTATGCCAAGGCTTAGGACAAGCCTTGGGCTCGGTAGGCACGTGCTTGGCACGGCACGAGGCGCGGGTGCGGGGCTCGGCACGGGCGGCTCGGGTGAGCACTAGGGCTCAATATAAAATGTCCAAAGCTCGACTTTGGTATTCTAACACACTTAGAAAAATATTCTAAGTATTAAAATATCAACTCTCAATTTTTTGACTTAGGAAAATATACTCGGAACGACAACTAGGGTTCGTGTCCGGTAATTTCTCGAATTGACTTGCTATTATTTAATAACCCAAATTAATGGATTAACCTTAACTTATACTTGAGATAGAATTATTCAAAGAATAATTTATCATGTTTGAGCATTTAGCATAAATAATATAACTCGATAATTTCTGAAAATTACGGATTTCACTTATAGTCGAGCAGTGAAACCGTTCTGAATATCATTACTGTTTTGGGGCGTTACAAAATATTTGTCGTCACTAACCCAAAATGTATATGACGATAACAAAAGTGTCACAAAAAATTAGAATTAGTAACAAGATTTTTTTGTCTCCAATTGGATATAAAGGTGACGAATTATTTTGTCGGGAATTAACAACTCTTTTATTACAAAGAAAAACATTGTCATTAAAAGCTTGTACTATAATGACAAGTTGAATTGTCGTAATAAGAGAAAATTTATGACAATAATATATTGTCATCTAATAAATTGATATGGTGACAAAATCACAACCAATTTGTCACAGTTAAATGTTGTAAAAAAAGAATATTTTCAGTGACCAATTATAGTTTGTCCCTATATGATATGGTTACAATGATGATAATTGTCATTATTTCTCAAATGCAGTGACAACTAGATTTGTCTTGATAAGGCTTTATGTTGTGACAAACATCATCGTCATTAAATATAATTATCAATTGTCACATCTATTATATTTAGCCCATTTTATTGAAATAAAAATGTAGTAATACCTGACCATAAAACATCAATTAAATATTTTCAATCTCATAATGTTCCAAACACTATATAAAAACACTATATAAATAGAAGCATTCTGAATATAATAAAATTATATCTTAACAAAACATATATAATAAAATATCCATTGAAATAGAAACTGCTAGGAATGTAAAAACAATAGTCTCATTTAGAACTTAAAGAAACAAAGCATTCCCGAAAAACAATAGTCTGATTTAGAACTTAAATAAAGAAACAAAGCATTCCCTTTCGAGCTGGTTGTCTTTCTTCTATTTGTGCACCTCAAAAAACTAATCTGAATCTTCTTGTTGCTAAATCCATTCAGTCATAGATGAAAATGGGCACCTGTTTGTTTAAAGGTTCGTAGATCAATGTACATACATATTTAAAAAATGTAAAAATGTGGTCGAATGAAGTAGATTCTCACGTAAGTAAAATGGAACTTAGTACTTACATGAAGCTTTCTTAGCTCATAGACTAGTCCTGCTGACAGCCATGAAAGCCATAATCTTTGCAATATCTGCACCCTGGTGACTCAATTGGTCTTTCAAATCACTGACTTGTTCTTTAAGCTCAATCACTTCAGATTCTGATTTATGCAACTTTTCATGCGTATCTCGAGGCTCCTCCTCCTTCTCTTGAAGCTCTTTCTCCTTCTGGCTATTCAGATCATATGATGAACGTCTACTTGGAGGCCTCGGGCCGTACCCATAGCCTTTTATATAACCAAATCCATGGCCAAGAACCTCAAGAAGAATATCTTGTTCGCTCTTCTCAACACCTTGTTCTGTATATTTTTCTCTCCGTGCAATCATCAGGTCCTATAGAACAAAATTAGTACATAAATGCACAATTAAATCAAATTCACTTGCAAGACTACATTAGCAAAATGTGCATGCAACATACCCAATTCTCTTCTACTTCTTTACTTGACCAGCCACCTTTGTCTGTATAATGCGTACGCTTATAGAGTTCAAGCATATCACAAGGTCCTCCATTCAACTCCTTCTGAGACTAAACAAATTTGAATGATTAAATTGGTTAACTATTCTAAATTCGCAAAGAAACATAGTAAAATTATAACGAAAATAACAAGTTGAACAGAATGATCTCATGATACTAAACTATTATTATATTATCACATAAAGATACATTTGATACAAGTGGATATATTCATCAATTTTATATGCACAGAATTTTGAACAAGTAGTATGACCAGCTATTGTGTATTAATACGTTGAAGTTGTAGAAGAGGACAAATGTCTGCACTATTTTACTGATATATTCTATTTCACATAATTTACATATATTGTTACTATAATTGTTCAAAACTACAAGTTTAGAAGATCATTTAATTGAACTTACTATTTCGTGTTGAAGAACAGTAAAAGGTGTTCGGCCAGAAATATGTGGAGCCCGCATTTGATGTCGATTTACAGCATTAACCGAACTTTGGTGCTGTCAAAACAAGAATATCGATATTACTCTACTAACAGAAAATATGAATTATTACTAATTGGTTATGTAAATATAAGATGAATTAAAAGAATATTACCTTGAATTTAGGTGAGGCGAAATGCTCGCACAATTCTTCCCAGTTTTGTTTATTCGCACAAAAAGGTGGCTTGTTATTCTTAGCTTCTTCAAGGGATGAATACTTCTTGTAATGTTGATGGAGCCTATAGCGATTTTGGCGTGTACTAGATTGCAGTCTATCAATCACGCATCGTTTCACTCCCGTATCTTCCAAGTTAACATCCATGTGGATCTACACATTTCGAAACTAAAATTATTTGAAGTAATATTAAAAAGCATACATGAAACAATTGAAGAGTACTTGATTTCTACCTTTATATGGTCAATGCCAGGTTCAACACCTTTTTCATCCACGTCTTTCCACGTTTTTGGCACCGGAAGGACATCTCGAGTTACTACACCAATTTGACTCGATAACTTTGCTAACTCCACTCTATTTTTAGGTCTTCCTATCAATGGGTCCACAGTTATTTTCATTTTTTTCCCTGAAGCCTCAAATGCCTTTATAATGCTCTTGCCCATGGTTTGTCCACGTTTTTTCTTACTGATGCAACTCAACCTTGATATTTTCTTTTTTTGACGAGTATTAAGAGGCATTATTCTTTCCGTACAACTTTTAAAGTTTTTATCCTAAATATGGAGTTGTCTGCTTTTTAGATACTTGGATGTAGATTGGTAACGCAAAACACTCCGACTGGCTTGAAATCAGCTTGCCTCCTTCTTCCTCGCCGGTAGAACGCCGCGTTCCTGCACAGAACTCTCACACTGGAGGGGTTTTCCGGTGAAGAGCCTCCGATGCTTAAGTCAGTATGTGTTTGTTCAATTTTCCAAAGTAAAGAATGGATAAATCATAAGTCACAAGAAAAGACCCGTCCCCATACATATAGGAGTGAGATACCTTCCTTAAAAACTGCCCGGCTTTGGTGAGCTGTCCTGCCCATACTGCCCGTCCGTACACACATAGTGTGTGTGTGTCAGAAATGTCAGGGGTGGTTTTCGCCACTATCACTCTGCACCAACATATTCTCGCCACGTGTCCCTCTAAGCTGAGGGAGATTATTCTTCTGCGCAGGCCGTTGGGATCTTCTAATGTCACCTACGCGCCTTCTCGCGTTCAAGCCATGCTCTAGACTGCTCTTCACCTGTTGAGTTCTCGATCTCCTCCCTTTTGGTCGATCCTCGATCAATTCTGCTATTCTGCTCGATCTCCTCCCTTTTGGTTGATCCTCGATCAGTTCTGCTATTCTGCTCGATCTCCTTCTTTTTGGTCGATCATCCTTCTCCCCATCCGGTTTTCTCCACTTCGAGGTTGCTCGACCGATGATGCAAACCGGTCTATTCCTCAACTATATAATATCCCATATCATAGATAATGTATACAATAAAATCTAACATTCCCCTTACAAATATCTCACACGGTGAATAGCAATATCTATTTCCCATCATCAACGAAACAAGCCACTCTAATTAACTAATCTAATTAACTAGTATCAGCCAGACTTCAAAAGAAACAAAAGGATAAGCAAAGGTAAGTATACCTGTGCTATCATTTGCTTGAGGTAATGGAGGATTCAGAGTTCCTTCAGTTGAAGGAGTATCTAGAGATTTGCTCTCATTTTGTTGAGTTTGAGGAGATTGAGTTGATGAAACAACATGCGTCGTGTTGTCACCCTTCAGCGTGTGAGTCGTTATAGTAGTTTCACCTCCTATAGATGAATCATTATTTGCTTTACCTGTTTCCAATCCCTCATTTGCCTTGTCCGGTCCCACATTTGTCTTCTCAAATTGTCGCGTGATACTTCTGCGAGGTATCGAATCTGCTAAAGTATTTGTCATGGTCAAGTGACTTAGGAGACTTTGTCGAGAGTTGTTTGGTATGTATTTCTTGGAATTCTGAACTGATCCAGGTGCCATATGAAACATTTAACATGAGAAAAAAAAAAACACCTGAATGAATAAATATCATAAACCACTTCAGCACCAAAAATATCATGTAATAGCTAATCCAGCATCTGTGATTAAATTTCATAAACCACTTCAGCAAAAGGAAAATCATATAATAGATGGGTATGCTTCCAATATATCTCGTTGTGTCAGTGCGAGCGATCAAAAGATATCCGGATTAAAAAGTCATGGTTGCCATATTCTTTTACAACGAATACTTCCAGTTGGGATTCGTGGTTCTTTGAATAAAGATGTTTGTGATGTATTGGCTGAGTTAGGTCATCTTTTTCAACGTTTATGCAGTAGGAAGTTGAAAAAAAAAATGATTTGGAGAAAATGGAAAGTCATATTTGCTTGATATTGTGTAAACTGGAAAAGATATTCCCTCCTGCATTCTTTGACATCATGGTTCATTTGCCTATCCATTTACCACGCGAGGCATTGATAGGTGGTCCAGTTCAATTTAGATGGATGTATTCGATTGAAAGGTAAATCTACTAAACTGTCAAATTCTTATATATTACTTGTCTGTGTTTATATTTTTAATAATGTTGATTTATCTTGTAGGTTCTTATGCGACTTGAAGCAGGGTGTAACCAATAAAGCTCATCCAGAAGGATCAACTGCAGAAGCGTACATTGCAAAAGAGTCTTTAACTTTTTGCTCCATGTACTTGAAAGGAATTGAGACTAGATTTAATCGAGATGATAGAAATTGTGAGATAATTATTGATGATAGTCTTTCAATCTTCTCTGAAAAATGTCGCCACTTTGGAGTGACAAAACTTGTTGAATTATCAGAGGAAAAATTCAACACGTTGCAGTGGTTTGTCTTACAGAATTATGAAGAGGTTCAACCTTATTTTGAATAAGTATAAATTATAGTTTAAATATTCAAATATTATTATACAATTTGATTTAAAAATATGAATGTTCATTGCAGGAAGCACAAGAAGGATCTAATGTTGGTTGGATGTGAAAACATAAATCAAGAACATAAAGAACAATTTCCTGCATAGTTCAAATAAAATGTAAGGGCATTATCATTTCAAATACAAATATCACATCATAATACTTGTTATTAGGCTTTCATTTATATGAACTTCTTACTGATAGTTTTTATTGTAAATATACAGATGAGTCATTTGTATCAAGAGGAACCAACGAAAGCAAATGAATCTTTGTATTCACTTTCATGTGCACCATACAGATGTGTTAGAAAGTATCCTGGATGCATTATCAATGGGGTAAGATTTATGACAAAAGATCGTGATAGTCGTCGTAAAACCCAAAATAGTGGAATCGTTGTTGAGGGTAACCATGGCGAAGATCTACTTGAATTTTATGGTGTTATATCTGATATAATTCTACTTGACTATGTGAAAGATAGACATGTCACCATATTCAAGTGTGAATGGTTTGATGTTGGGAATAGAAGACAAACAGGCTTACGAAAAGAGGGAAATATGGTGAGTGTTAGGATTACTAAGAATTGGTACGAGAACGACCCTTTTATACTTGCTAATCAAGCTAGGCAGGTTTTCTATATTAATGACCCTAAATTAGGACATGATTGGCGGGTAGTACAACCTTTCCAAAATAGACATGTTTATGATGTCGATGAGATTCAGGATGAAGAAATAAATGCTGATGACTTTTTCTCTGTGGAAGATGGGGTGTACCAAGATTACGCCATACCTTCTCCTCCTCGCCAACCTACTTGTCCAATTGATGGATCAGGCGAGGATGCACTCGACCATGTCCCCCTTAGCCGTCGTTGGCCAGCGTTCGGGGCCTCTGACGCCACTGAGGCAGCTCTCGACGCTGCTGAGGCAGCCATGGAGAGGGAAGAAGATGATGTCCCCCTCTCTCAGCACTCCGTTTTTGCCCACGTTGTCTCCTCGAGTATGTCAAAACGAAATACCCCTTCGAGCTCTCCTGCTTCGCAAACCAGCTCCGGTCCTACTACCTCGCCTTCTAAGCCAGCCAAGAAGAGAAAGCTAGTCAAAGCTTCCTTCCCTAACCAGACCTCTTCTCGCTCCCTCGTCGCTGGTTGGCTGGACACCAATGAGGTTGGTCATCCAACAAAATGGGCTTTCGTGTCCCCTGGTCCCAAGGATACGTATGCCTGGCCCCCTAAGGGTTGTTATACTTTTTTCGAGGTTCATTTTAAACTTGGTATCCGCTTTCCTCTATGCCAAGATTTGCTCGACATCTGCCAATGGTTCGAACTGCCTTTGAACCAGCTTCCTCCTAACGCCATCCGGTTCATTACCATCTTCATCATCCTTTGTCATGTCCGCCTAGGTCGGCTCGACCTTGACTTCTTTCACTATTGCTACACCCCTTCGAAACATGCACAAGGACTTTACCTCAAAAGCCGTGCTGATGTCCACTTCATTTCGGACACCCCCTCAAATGTCCCTAGGTGGAAAGATAAATTTGTCTTTGTTGAACCTGACCCTGCTTTCCCTTGGGAGACAACTCCGTGGCTCAAGGAGCTCAAGCGCGATTATGTGGCGCCTTCTCAGAGCGCCCTTTTCGACCAACGGATCGCTGTGTGGAACACGAAGCCCGCTGCGTCGAAAATTCTGCTCGAGGATGACAACCTCTTGCATTTCTGCGGCCTCCTTACTCATAAATCACTTCTTCCGCCCTCTCAAAAAATTCTCGATCTCATTCGAATTACAGACGATCCAGGTATTTTTAATTTTACTGAATGCACCTGAGCATTACAGTGCCATTATTCTATATATGATTTACCTGTTGTAGCTCTAACTTGTTCGTGGTTCCTAACAGAGATGCCTACTATCTCTGTGCCTAAGAGGAGTGCTCCTTTGAAGAGGAAGCACCTTGGCGAGAGGTCGAGCTCGAAACCTGCTGACTCGACCGCCTCCGAGTCCGCCCGATCAACCTCACCGCCCTCGGAAGTGACCGTCGAGCAGCCTTCTTCGACCAACCTTCCAGCGAGCCAGCGGCCCGAGCAGCTCGAGCAGCCCGAGCAGCCAACACAGCTCGACAAATCAGCCTCTCCCCCGCCGCATTCACCTCCACACGACCAGATCATCCCAGTCATTCATATCCCCGCCTCTCCCGAGAGGACTCTGCTCGAGGAGAGTCAACTGAAGCGGTCTCTTGCTGAGGGGGATGAAAGTATCAGCAAGCGTCATCGTGTCGAGGAGACCGCCCTCTCAATTACCACGCTCGACGGTCCCAGGTTCTCGCATTACCTCAGGGATGTTCTTCCCCCTGTCGACCGTCCCACTGACCGCTATAACGACGGTCACACCCTTCAAGATCGAGGCCATCGGCTTGCCGGCTGGCTGGCTCAGGTAACCTACCGTCACCTGACACTTATCTATTTTATTCCCTTTCTTCCTCTCGTTAGTGTTCTAACACTTTCTTTTATGCGCCTTTATAGGGAATGGTCGAGCTCGCGCCGTTGATCGAGCAGACATTAGCGAGCCCGAGTCGGTCCATCTCAGCCATCGAGCGGAGCAATCTCCAGCTCGGCACTCGGCTGGATGAGATGGTCGTCAAGGCCAACGCCCTTCACGAAAGGCTGAAGGAGTCGGCCGCCCGGAATAAAGCCCTCTCCGCTGAGAAGGAAACGCTCGAGGGGGCCCTAAAATCCTTCGAGGAAGCTCTCGCAACCGAGCGAGTGGAGAAAAAGGCCCTTCTGGCCTCGCAGAAAGCCTCGAGATTGCGCTCGAGGAAGAGAAGGCCGCTCGAGCACGTGAGAATCTTGCCTTCGAACAACGGGCCAAACCTCTCATCGATGAGGTTGTTCTTCGGGCGCGGAGAGTGGTCTTCCACACTACCGCGGGCCGGCGCTTTTTGGAATCCTATCGCGAACAAGTGGTGGCTGCCTTCAAACAGTTGCCGCAATATCTGAAGGATGTGCAAGACTATGGCACCCAATGCTTCGTAGCCATTATGCAGCAAGCAGGAGCCCACGTAGCCGAGGACAATTTCGAGGAGTTCAATATGGAGGCTATCTGGGACGCCGTGCCCAAAGCACCCGTCGGCTACCAAAGCTCCCTTGACTTACCCTCTGACCACGACTGGTGGTCCGGTCTCCTCAAGCTTGTCGTGGATGGCGACGATCTTCTAAAGCGTCATTTCAAACTGCCAGACGGTTATACGCCTCCTCTCACCCGTCAGAATCAGTGTCCCGAAGGAACTGAGTCGACTTCTAGCTCCTGTCAGCTGACGAGGCTGGTGTCGCAGCCGCTCGAACCTTCACCGGGACCAGCCCCCAACGACTCCCATGTCCACGAGGACTAGAGTGATTCCGCATTGTGATTGTATTTTTGTTAAACTTTGTACTCCCTTCCCATTAAGCGACTATTACTCTTGTTGAAGTCTATGAATTTTTCTTGTTATTACTTAATTGTGTGCCCGCTGATGTGCCATTTCATTTGTCATCTTCGTTATTGCCCAGTTTACCTTAATGTTGTGTGTCGATGTCGTGTTAACCAATTGTTTAAAGTCACGCCGTTCATTCACCTAACTAATCCAGATAAATTAAATGAATTACAATGACTTTAAATGCCTCCTGGCGCATGTCCACCTTCAGAGTGGTGGTCGGTGCATGCGACCATCCAGCCTCTCGGCCTTAGTCATGATGGACTTTTCTACTTCGAGCACATGTCCACCCTCAAAGGGGTGGTCGTTACATGCGACCATCCAGCCTCTCGGCCTTAATCATGATGGATTTTTTGTCTTCAAGCACATGTCCACCCTCAAAGGGGTGGTCGTTACATGCGACCATCCAGCCTCTCGGCCTTAATCATGATGAATTTTTGTCTTCGAGCACATGTCCACCCTCAAAGAGGTGGTCGTTACATGCGACCATCCAGCCTCTCGGCCTTAATCATGATGGATTTTTTGTCTTCGAGCACATGTGTACCCTCAAAGAGGTGGTCGTTACATGCGACCATCCAGCCTCTCGGCCTTAATCATGATGGATTTTTTGTC